TGGATCCCCCGCACCCTGCCCACCACCTTTTCCAGCTACTCCCCTCAGGCAGGCGCTACAGATCCATCCGCACCAAATCCAGCAGACACTTAAACAGTTTCTTACCTTTAGCCATTAACTCCCTAAACAGTCACTGACGTAGTCACTCTTCTTGTACAACAAATACTGCTACTGGTCACTCTAAAATGGTTCAATGATTTTCTGCACCAACTGTACAACTGTCATAGTATTGTATTGTACCACTGGTCACTTTAGTTCTGCTTGATACTTTGCACATTGTCTCACAGTTGTCACTGGGTGGGACCACCGCACTATGGTTCACTTACATTACGAAATGTCCTTCCATACCTATTTGTCATGTCCTTGTTTATGATGATACTAATGCAGCGTGTTATACCGGAGACAAATTCCTTGTGTGTTCTACATACTTGGCCAATGAAGATTATTCTGATTCTTTATCTCAGTAAGACATTTTAAATGATTCTCATTTGCCCTGGCTGGCTGCATAAGAATATACTTGTACTGTACACACACACACACACACACACACACACACACACACACACACACACACACACACACACACACAAACACACACCGTGGGGAGAATGTATTTGATACCTTGTTTTTTTTTTTTCCCCCCCCACTTACAAAGCAGATGGAGGTCTGTAATTTGTATCAAAGGTAGTCTTCAACTATGAGGGACAGAATCTAAAACAAAAATCCAGAAAATCACAGTTGATTTTATTGTGTGTGATTTTCTAACAAATGCTAAAAAACTAAAAACTAAAAATGTGTTTGTTACATTTTATACTAAGTTTGACACCAATGTTGTAAAAATACCAGGTTATGTATTGCACTCATACCGGAAATAACTATTGCTGATCATTGGCTTTTTTTTTTTTTTTTTTTTTTTTTTTAGCAAGCCCAAAATATTGAATGACACTTGCCATTTGGATTCTCTATATTTTGATATTATTCAACTGTGATAATATGTGCATCAGCTTTTAAATTCCACAAAACCAAGTGCATATCAAGCTGGGGGGCTGGGGTGGGTAGGCACCCTCATCATGTCAACGCCTATTATAGAAAGAACAACCCCAAACTGAGATGGGTAGACCCAATAAAGCAGCAACATTTTGAGAAAAAAATGGGTTTCATATGCAATCGAGCTTGCTTTCGGTATTTTTCGAAGCTCTTGTCTCTCATTCGATCGATCATTACGTTGTTTCTGAACAACAATTTTTTGGTGTGATTACACTCATAAAAGGCACAATCAAGCATACCTGCACAATTTTACTATGTACAACAGTACCGATGGTGCTCGCACAAAGCCTTGGACCAAGTCCTTTGAAGAGACCAGCTTTTCCATCAATCTTGACGATGTGTTTTGCTGAAACATCAAGAAAACAAACAACATTTTGAAGGTAAGGTTGAAAAGGTATATCAATGAAAGAAAATGAAAGTATGAAAAACACCGCTGTCTATTTGTAATTCCAAAAAAACTTCATAAATTATAATAATGCATTGGAGCGGGGGTCGGCAACCTGCGGCTCAAGAGCCGCATTGAAAGAAAATGAAAGTATGAAAAACACCGCCATCTATTTGTAATTCCAAGAAAACAACTTCATGAATTATAATAATGCATTGGAGCGGGGGTCGGCAACCTGCGGCTCAAGAGCCGCATGTGGCTCTTTCGCGCCCCCGAGTGGCTCCCTGGAGCTTTTTCAAAAATGTGTGAAAATGGAAAAAGATGAGGGAGGGAAATATATTTTTTTGTTTTAATATGGTTAAGACAAAAAAATGACACAAACATTAACATTTTCCAATGCTTTAAAAATGTTTCGAATAAATATTAAATTTCAACATTTCGTCAACAAGGATTTGCGTCATAGCCTGCGACACACGTTTCTAATAGCAGGGCGGGATGTCAGTCAGGGGGCTGTTGTAAAAAAAAACAAAAAAAAAACAGCCTTTCATGTACAGATTGCAAGGACAACTACGTACTTTAAAATGGACTTGGCTCAGGCCTGGGAGGTTGGGATTTCACAGTGAATCAATCACTGGCGAACCAAAATATGTAAAGTAAGCTTGCTTCATGAAAGAAAAAAAAACCTCCCCTTGAGCAGGGCACCATATTATTATTATTATTATTAACATTCTGCACAAATTCTACAATTACAGTTATACATCAATCCTATTCCACGTTGTCGTCATCATCATCATCATCTTTTCCTTTCGACATGTGCAGTTAGGGGTCGCCACAGCGTGACCCTCCTTTTCCAGCGTAGTCTATCTTCTGCATTCTCCTATCTACCAACAGTTGCCCTCATGTCTTCACTCACCATCAACCGCCTCCCTCACCATTAACCGTCTCTTAGGTCTTCGTCTTGTTCTCTTTCTCTGCAGTTGCCATCCTCATTACCCTTGTACCGATATCCTCACGATCTCTCTGGACTTTTCCAAACCGTCTGCTCTCGCTAACTTTTTACACAAAACATCTAACCTTGCCGTGTCTCCGACGAACTCATTTCTAATCGTAATCCATCCTGGTCACTCCAAACAGAAGTGCGTGAGAAATCATTAATGTTAGTGCAGGGCGATGTGGAAAAAAAAACATTTATCACGATATAGACCATTTTATGTCACGATAACGGTATAATAGTGTTTATTTTATCAGCCATTTTTCAATTTAGTCTCAGTTTTAGTCTAGTTTCAATTACGCTATTTAGTTGGTAATCACATTTGGTCAACCTCATCTCATTATATTTAATTAAGTTTTAGTCAACTATTAGCATTTTAGTCTTTATTTTCGTCCAAGAAAACAATTTTATTTGAATTTTATTTGTATAGTTTGTCAACAAAACTTTGCAACATTTTAGCCTAGTGTTTGTCAAGACAATCATTTTACCCTTTTACATTTTTGTCAGCAGATTTTCATGTTCACATAGTTCATGTATGAGAATATAGGTTAAAGTTTTGAATTATGTGTGGCCTTTTGTTGTGTAGATTAATTGTTTAAATTAGCATCCATATGTAGCTCTCCAGATGATTAGTGATTAAATATATGTAGTTTGCGCTTACTTGTGTCTGCTTTAACTACACTTGCATCTGAAACAAGAGTCGCCCAGCCAGTTTGACATCTCAGCACAAATTCAACTTCACACGCAATTATATCAACACGTGGCTACATGCTAGAAGCTAATAAGTTAGCCAGGATTAGTTTGAGGTTGGTAAAACGTTTATTGTAACTGCTGATTTAATTTTGCGTTATAGACCACCACCAAACTTTTTTTGTTTAGTTACTACGATGTCTTTGTGGTGAACTGCGACATGTTTCTTAAGTTGGTTTTTCCAGCTACTTTGTGCCCACATTTGTTCTCACTGACTAAAATCAAGCATAAGGATTTTTTTCTCCATGTCGGACGAACTTGGTTGAGAGAGCGGTAATGGACGCCAAGAAATCATTTTCCTCTTTCTTTGCCAGTGAATTAAAATGTCCATAGATTTTAGCCCAATCTTCATTCACTGACCTACATTTTCATCTCGTCTTCATTAGTCCATGAAAATGTATACTGATTTAGTGTGTTATTTATTCATGGAGGTTTTTGTCTTATCTACCGGTAGTTTTTGTCCGGTGAAAAATGTGCGTTCAGGCATTTCTGTAATGAAATTAACATTGTGATATATTTTATCAAAAATTATGTATAAAATTATATATTATGTTAACACACTGGTGATGGGAAAACAGCTTCAAATTTGCGTCATGGATCAGTGGTTGTATTTTTGGATTCTTCTAGATGGCACTGTGAATATGAGGTTGAATAAATGGCAGGTCTGTACTTTCATCCCAATTTCTCATCGCAAGAACACACTGACTGCTGATCTTTTCTTACTTTAATAAGTGACTTTAAACGAAATGAATTCCATCCAACAGTCCTACTGCT